GTATAAATTATAAAAAGGTAAAATGTGTGAATTTAAAAAAAAATCTTCAAAGTTGCTTTAGAACTTTTCAATTATTTACTTTTCAATTCTTTCACAAATTTTTTTTTTAATTGAGAAATTAATATTTTAGAATTTTTTATTAATTTTTATTATAAATATTATTTTTATATTTATTTATTTAATATTTATAAATATTATTTTTTATTATAAAAAATTAGTTTTTTTATTAATTAAATGAAAATAAATAAATTTTACATATTTTTCAAATTACTCTACATTTTTAAAAAACTTAAAAAAAAAATTACTGTTGTAGAACCAATCGGTTACCGTGTTTTATCCGGTTTAAAATTTACAAAAAGTAAATTTTTTTTTTATTTTTTATATACAATATGAAATTGATATTATTATTCTTTTTCATGCAATTTTATGCCAAATGAAAAAATCTTATGTGTATGATTTATCAATTTATCATGAAACGTAATTTTCAGTTATTCATTCATGGAGTATTGAAATTATTTGAGAACTTTGGAAATATTAAAATAATCAATGAAATATTTATAAATCTGACAACATTTTAATTAGTTACAAATAAAAGACATCACCATGGAACAATCACATGTTTCGCACTGTCGAAACTAGTATTAAAAGTCTTCGATAGATGGCGCATGGCCGCAGAACTGTTCCTTTCTAGATACTTGACTTTGAAGTGTTAAGTTCCGAAAAGAGTAGAATTTTGGTACTCTATTAATGAGTTTATCTGTTTTTGAAGAAAGTTGTAAAGACAACTAAAATAAATGTTGTATCAACTTTATTATAAATGTAAATTTATTCATCAATTTTATTTAGGCTTCAGGTTTGTCAACATCTTGACATGGCCATATCAACCCTGATAAAGTCTGATATTTCCAATGTTTATGTTAAGTCTGATCAGAATATTTTTTCACGAGATATATTGACGTGTGGATTTTTAGACATCGACCCTGATTTGTGGGAAACAGATCAAGAATACATTACTTGCTGCGAAACTTTCAAAAAACTACGTGTTGTTAATGATACTGCCGAACGATGTGTTGCACTCCTTGAAAAATTTAACGAATTTGGTACATATGATGAAGATCAGAAACAATATTTATTATTAACGGTTCAACAATGTAGAAAAGACTTTCCAACGTGTGCCAAAAAGCTATATTCAGCTTCAAAATTTTGATGTGTTTTCAATAACACTAGTAATTATTTAAATTAATTAACTTGTTTTTCATGACTATTTAGATGTTTATCACATTTGAAGCATTTTACGTAAGAATGTAACCTTCTGTACATTTTCATTAAATTTTTGTTGCTTTTTTATGAATTCATGTGTTGTTTTTGTATTCATTATGAGTAAAGAATCATACTTATTTTAAAAAAGTTCTTAGTGTAGGGAAATATAATGGCAATAAATAGAAAAAATGAATCTGAATAACATTATGAGTTAGTATTTATCAATTTCTTACGTTTCCTGCTATAAAAATGGCTGTAAATTCATTAATATTGGTTGGATGACTTTTTTTTTTTATGAGTCAGTCCTTTTTTTCTTCTTACCATTGGTGATTTGCTCGAAAAATTAAAAAAAATTATATTTTTTTCAAAAATTGTACTTTGAAGACTCCTACCGGTGAACCAGTGCGAGTTACACAAAAAAACTTTATGGCTTTTTTGAAGAGCGTGAAATTCCCCACAAGGTCCATCAAACTGATTTGCAATATTGTAAAAGCCGGCTAAGCATTAGAAATTTGAAAAAAAAAAAAATTTTTTTACATGCATTTTAAATAGTAAAACTTCAAATTTTTATTGTAAGTACTTAAAATTAATATTAAGAGCTCAAACTTGGTAGGAATTTTTTTTTCTATATGTAGATTGATATTTTTCATGAGCACCGAAAAAAAAAAAAATTTTGCGGAAATGAATCACCCTAATATATATATTATATTATAAGATATATGCACCAAACACTGCTCCGAGAAATCGGACATATGCAATGTATGCACCAAACACTGTTAAGAATGGGTAGTTTTGTAAATTCTCCCTATTTCTTTTTCTTTCTAGAAAAAGATCCCGAACTAACATGTGCACAAAATGGAGAGGTGGCAAATACTGACGCTGGAACAAATTCTAACTCAGATGTAGTCAGTCAAACTCAAAAAGAGGATGATCTAGTTCAGCAAGATCCTGACCTAGATGTAGAAATTCTAGAGATTTTAGGAAAAGATCCTAGTAAAAAACCAGATGATCCCTTTAAGTTTCATGCAGAAATTAAAGGCCGATGGGGAGCGTGGATGAAAGAGGGCTTAGCAGAAGAGGTAAACAAGAGCGTACTGAGTAAGTATCTTCGAAAAGGAGACTTGTATGCGGAGCCTCCAAAAATAAATTTGGAGATAGCTCCAGCTCTTTCTGAGATCACTAAGAAAAGGGACGACCATTTCTCAGAGACACAGAGATGTGTAGGATCGGCTGTTATTGCTCTTGGAGCAGCCATGTCACTTCTTCTGGATGCCTCTGACAATGAGGTTGATGAATTGAAGCTGATGGAGTATTTCAGTGATACTGGTAAATTATTAACAGAAATTTTTCACCAACACTCAATTGCTAGAAAATCTTACATTACTCCAGTAATGAAGAAAGGTGTGAAGAACCTTGTAGATTTCATTCCTCTAGATGAATGGTTATATGGAAATAAATTAGCAGAGCAGATCAAGGAGGTCAAGACAATTGAAAGCGCATGTCAAAACCTAAAATCTGCAGATAAATCTGTTAAAAAACCTTCTCAACGCCTTCAATTTCAGGGAAACTCGAGGAGCCCGCCTGCCAATTACAGACAGATGGGCACGAGCAACCAGAGAAAGACGCTGCGCTTCAAGCCCAAATATCAGCGTCCGAGCCAAAAATCAGGTCAGGAGAGGACTCAGACCAAGGACTCAGAGAAGAAGTAACTCAGGTAAGAAATCTGCCTATGAGAGGTAGACTTGGTTTCTTTAAAAATAAATGGGAACGAATAACAACAGATAGTTATATACTATCCTGTTTAGATGGATATTCAATCCAATTTAAAGAAACTCCATATCAAAAAACAATCCCCGAGCTACGAACTTGGCCAAGTTCGACGAGTTTCAAATAGAACTCGAAATTAACAAACTTTTAAGCAAAAAAGCTATAGAAAAATGTGAATACTCTAATGAACAATTTATTTCATCCTATTTTTTAGTATCCAAGCCAGACGGGACCAACAGGTTCATTTTAAATTTAAAAAATTTAAATCAATTTATTTTTCCACCTCACTTCAAAATGGAAGACATAAGAACAGTCAAGAACTTGTTGATGTTGAATGACTTTATGGCTTCCCTTGATCTCAAAGACGCCTACCTGCTAATTCCAGTAAATCAGACTAGCAGAAAGTATTTAAGATTTATTTTTAAAAATTAAATTTACCAATTTACTTGTCTACCATTCGGTCTCTGTTCCAGCCCGTTTATTTTCACAAAAATAATGAAACCTGTTATAAATATATTAAGAGAAAAAGGCTATTTAATAGTAATTTATTTAGATGACATAATTTTTATCGCGAAAAATTATAACACTTGTCGTAATAATGTTTCATGGGCAAAAGCCTTTTTGGAGGAACTCGGCTTTGTAATTAACGATAAGAAAAGTTGTTTAGAACCTACACAAAAGTGTAAGTTTTTAGGTTTTATAGTCAATTCAGTAGATTACACCATTGAATTAACTGATAATAAAAAAGAGCAAATTAAAAATTTATTGACTAAATTCAAAGTTGAAGGTAGATATAAAATTAGGGAAGTTGCAACCTTGTTGGGTGTTTTGAATGCCGCTTGTCCAGCAGTTGCATATGGACTATCTCACTGCAAGAAGCTAGAAAGAGAGAAATTTCTCGCTCTTATTTTAAACAACGGCGATTATGATAGTTATATGTCATTGTCAGTCAATCTTAAAAAAGATTCAAGCTGGTGGGGCAAAAATAGTCAGATTGGTCAAAATCCTATCAGAACTTCACAATACGTGATCGAAATCTCATCGGATGCGTCATTATCAGGATGGGGCGCCTTCTGTAATGGAAAATCGGCGCATGGCTGGTGGAATGATAAGCAAAAGAAGCTCTTCATTAACTATCTTGAGTTATTGGCAAGCTTTTATGCTCTCGAGTCCTTTGCCTCAAATTTAAATAATTGTGACGTCTTACTAGGAGTAGACAATACAACAGCGATATCTTATATCAATTGAGCTGGTAGTGTTCAGTTTCCAAGACTCAGTAATCTGTCAAAGGAAATCTGGGATTGGTGTGAAACTAGAAAGATCTGGATTTTTGCTACCTACATTTCATCAAAAGACAACTTTCATGCAGATGCAGCTTCTCGATTGACTAATATAGATACGGAATGGGAGTTGTCTCAGAATGCGTTTAATTTGATAAACCAAAAATTTGGTCCTTTTTCTATCGATCTATTTGCCACATATGAAAGCAGAAAAATTGAAAGATTCTGTTCTAGATTCCCGAGTCCAGAATCTTTTAGAGTTGATGCATTTACGATTTCTTGGAAAAACGAAAAAATTTACGCTTTTCCTCCGTTTGCCTTGATCACACCGACCCTTAAAAAATTTATTACTGATAAAGCTGAAGGTGTTATCGTAGTACCAAACTGGCCTACTCAGCCCTGGTATCCGTTACTCCAGTCGTTGCTCAAGGATCTATCCTTAGTATTTAAACCAAATAAAAAATTATTGATTTCTCCTTGCAGATCAAAAACTCATCTTCTATCGAAGACACTTTCCCTGGCAGCCGTATACTTGTCAAGCAAAAATATCTGAAAAAAGGACTTTCATCAGAGGCTGCCGATATTATGCTAAGCTCCATTACGGAATCTACTCTCAGATAATATGAGAGTTCACTCAAGCAATGTTGGTCTTTTACAAAAGAAAGAAACTATGATATCCATAACACTGATGAATTTAAAATAATAGAATTCCTAACTTTAAGATTTAACAAAGGATGTAAATACGGGACCTTGAACTCGGATAAAGCTGCCATTGCACTTGTTACTTATGAAAATCACTCAGAAGAAAAATTAACAAAGCGTTTCATGCGAGGTACCTTCAAAAAACGCCCTGTTCGAGCAAAATACCCCACTACGTGGGACGCAAATCGCGTACATGAATATATAGATACAATGCCGGATATATCAAAATTAAATATAAAAATAGTATCTGGAAAATTAGTGACATTGATGATCCTTGCTACAGCTCACCGTTTACAGACAATAGCCTTGATTAATATCGATAATATTAAAATATCTGAGTCGAGAATAGAAATTAAAGTTCCTGAATTAATTAAAACTTCGAAGACGGGAGCCTTTCAACCCAGCTTAATTTTGCCATTTTTTAAACAAAGACAAAGTGTATGCGTTGCCAAAACCCTACTACAGTACTTAGATATGACAAAAAACTTAACAGGTGAACTTAAAGGCCTTTTTATCTCAACTGTAAAGCCATATAGAGTAGTTGGTGCTCAAACCTTGGGGCACTGGGTTAAAGCATTTTTAGAAAAAGCGGGAATAGATGCAAGTTTTGGTGCATACAGTGTAAAGCATGCAGCTGTTTCAAAAGCCAATGCTGAAGAAGTGGATATAGATACAATACAACGCACAGCTGGATGGTCAAAGAACTCATCAACATTCGCAAGATTTTATAACAGACCGATACAAAGTTCAAATGAGACATTTGCACGTAATGTTATTTCTTAAAACTTGTAATCATTCAGCACAAAAAAAAAAAAAATTTCAAATTTTATTATAAACATTGACTCTAAACATCTACACTTGTAATCGTCGAGAACGAGACGTCGTAGCATAATGAACCGATCAAACGAGCTCGCCGAAGGCGCGTGAGGAGCGTGAGGAGCTCACGAGGCGCGTGAGGAGCGTTGGGAAGAGGTCGCGCAGTCGCTCGAGCAATTATTGTCACTATCCGAGGCCATACCGTATGAAGTCGAGCCGAAAGTACAAGTCGTGAGTCAGTTGGTTCCGGTTGTTGACTTGAAACGAATTTCAGCTCCAGTCCAGCCTTTTCAGGTTAGACTTCACCGTCCGGCACCGGTGCGCGTAGAGGCTCCGACTATCGCGACTCAAGAGAAACCCAGACCTTGGTGTCTGCGATTATTGGTTCCACCTCGCTGGCGTATGGCTAGAAAAGGCGGTATGGTTTATTCTATGGCCATGCGCCTTAGATGACTCGGCCAACATCACCAGTTTCCTTTGCTTTCATTTAGTTTCTTTAATTTCTTTGATTTAATAAACATCCTTATAACTCGAACAGATACCCCATAAGCTTTCAGCTTCTTTAGTATTCAAGTTCGATGGACCCCCATCGAACATATGTGAAGAGAGAATATGACTCTCGACCAACAGCGAAGATGGAATGTCCATCCGTTGGCATGAATTAAAAATCTACTGGTCACTTGACCGCTAGGCGTTAAAACTTCAATTTCTATTATTTGTACTTTTTCTTTCTCTATTGACGTATAATTGTTAAGCAATTTTCCGTCACTTTATTAGATTGCCGATCAGATGCACGTTGGATGTCAAAGCGATTCATTTCCAAGTTAGATCTTGAAACACAACAAAATCTTTTGGATATTTGTTCATTCATGGTATTTATGTTTGTGTCAGTTTGGTTTTTGGCACTTTTTGCAGCATCAGCTTCATATCAAGATTTAAATTATATTAAGAGTGTGTATCATTACAGGACAAATAATAAGAAAATTTCTGAGGCGAAATTTCTGAAGGGATATTTGGGTGGTGTATTTTGGTTGTGGTAGCAGAGTTGTTTGTTTTTGGCATTAATAAATAGAACAATTGTGTTTCTAACACTTTCGAATTGACGCACGTAACGTTTCATGCGACTTGAGAGTTCAATAATCAAAATTTCTTATATTTCCACTGACGAATAAAAGCTAAAGTATTCTAAACTGAACGTAAATGGGTAGACAAGATTATTTTGCTGATTTTCTACAAGTTCACTATAATTTTAAAGCACCAAATCTTGGAAGCTGATGATGAGTAAAGCTTAAACCGTGATTGATAGAAGAATAGTATATTACACTCCTAGAAAAATAAAGTAAGAAATGTCTCAGATCATGTGATTGACCGAGGCGAAGCCAAGGTCAACAAACATGTGATCTGAGGCTTTCTAATTGACTTCCCGAGAAGTGTATACTATTTTTTTCCCCAACGAAGGCAGAAAGCAGCAACTTCGTTTCGCGCAGTGAAGCTAAAGTTGACGCTTTACGCCCAGAGAGGAAAAAAAATAACTTACGAACAATTTAAAATGAGTGAATTAACTGATAAATAATTTGATTTATACGGTTTGAATACGCCTTTATTGTACTCAGCCGATAGACTCTAGAAAGAAAATAATGACAAGAAAAGAAGCAGTGACGAGTTGAAGTTCAAGAATTTGCAGAGGATGAGAGAAAGCGTTAGAATGAGTCGTAAGTCCAAGATGTTAATGAGGACTCCTGATGTCACTCCCTGCAGCTTGTGACTTCGCTTGTTCCGTTTAGTTACAGGGTTTGTACGGTCTTACAACTAAACATTAGGTTAAAACAATTTGTTAGAAATCTAACACAGAACGTAAAAAAAGGACAGCTGCAATTTATATTCTGGATAGGCTTAAACTGGGAAAAGGATTTCTGATCGTAAAATCTTGCCAACACTGATTATGACCGTTTCTCTCCGAGTATATATGCTTGCGAATGATGTATGTATGTGTTTGTGCTGTGTACTTAAAGTTGCTGTTCATTCTACTAGTCATTACTCTCACTTTAAAATTATTCTGAAGACCGGAAAATCTGGTCCTCACCATCTTAACTTTATACTTTTTTATATAATTCCTGAAAGTTAAAATTTAATAGAGAATCATCTGATCAAGAATATTAACAATTTTTTTTTGAGAACGAATTAAAAATTTTATCTTCTCAATGTTAGAATAGTAATCGAAAATGTAGTGATACAATGTATTTTCCACTTTTTTACGAATAAATAAACATAACATCTAGTTCGAGATCAAAACATATTTCAAATGAGCTAATTGACTCACTTATTCGAGTTTTATTAATCTTTTGTATTTTTAGTAATCAAAATCAATAAAAATTGTTTTCAAGAAGTTTGCAGTTTCCCTCGGTGGACATCAAACATGTGATAAATTTCAACGTTTCCTTGAATGAGGAGGAGGTGGGGGTGGCCTTTCTTCGATTTGACATCTATGATCATTAACGACGTCCCCATCTGTAAATTTAATACAATATTATTATACAGAAAATAGTCTGAGAACACAATAGATTAGACAATTCAGATCTTTGGGCCGTGATGACTATCTTAGTATCCTAACTATGCAGCGTGCGATTAAACTGAATACAATGTTCAAAACCTTATGTCAATTTTCAATTTTGCTGTTGCGAAAATAAACATTTTTCAAATTATTGCGATTAATATTTATAAATCATAGAGTCACTGTTTTTACCTTAATTTTCGAGTCGAGTTCTCGCTACATTATTACGTTTTGTGGTCATAGAAACCTATATTGCCTATTTGTAAAAGGTTATTACTTATGTCTTGTGACAGATTGTTTACAGCGTCATTTCAGCTGAGAGATTTTTTAATTTGATTTGTATTATTAACATTATGATGAATTTATCTTTGTTTATTTCACTGCTTTCCGATCACCTTCGATCATAATAACTGACAAGTCTCGAGAATCTTAGAGCAAACTTTAAATTTTCTAGATTCAATTCAAGTAAGTAAGAAGCGGAGTTTCGAAAGGGTATTTTTTAATAAACTGTTACGTCCAAATTTTGGACAGAAATTATTAAAATTTATTTTGGTCCTGGTATTATTTAACCACTAGACCGGGAACCTAAAAAGATGTAGGAAAAATGTGCGGTTGTCTTTTGTTGAATTATTTGATATATCATTGTAAATTTTAGATTTTAATTTCAATAACGTATATTAACTGTTACGTTCTCAAAATTTAAGATATTTAATTTTAATTTTCGTCCAGGTTTAGCCGCGTTAGATAGTCGACAGACTCCAAGCTTGCCTTCCCGGGAAAAAAAGTTTAGATCTGCTCTGATCAAATCAGATCGAATTCATCAGATCTGAGCAGATCTGCATATCTGCCAGATCTGTCCAGATCAAATTTGATCTGATAAGATCAAATCTGATATGTTCAGCTCTGGTTCAATTGAAACAGAATCAATTTATAAAAAAGTTTATAGAATAAAAATTATAGTAAAATTTATTTTATTTTACTTGCAAATTACAAATTGTGTATTTTAAATGAATTTTCCGTGATTTAAAGTCGAATTATCGTTGAAAAACAATTTGCGATGTTGGGGATTCAAACCAGGGTCCTCCTACATGTCAATCCGAGAGCGTACCATTCAGCTACTAGAGGTAACTGATTGAGTTACTCTTTAGATAATATTATAGGGACTGTATTATCTTTTTGTAAAATTTTGAGGTCGGTGTACAAAATATGATTACTTTATATATTTTCACCCGCTGCAACCGAATGTCGCAGTCATTTTTGCGAAATCCCGGGCCATTTTATCAGATCTCGACGTTTTGAGGTCATAGGAAGCTTCCCTGACTACCGCCGCGGTGGTGTCTGTATGTCTGTATGTGTGTGTGTGTGTGTGTGTTTTTTTTCCCCTTTAGGGGGGGGGGAATCCTTTTTACGGATTCTAGGCATAGATGTTGGCCCGGATATGTGGCGACTCGACGCAGCGTCATACTAAAACTTGACGCTGACGCTCCTACCCACTAAACCCTAAACCCCTTTCTCTTCTATCCTCTGATCCCCCATGGTACCGCAGTAAGGCATTTCTTCGCGGGGGGAGGAATTAGCTGCCGCTTTTCCTTCTGGTGGCTAAGATGTTATTTCTTCCTTCTAGTTTCTGTGATTCGCTCTTTTCCTCTCAATGGATCGCAACTCGGTAAGCACTTGTAGCAAAAGTGCTTGTGGCGTTCCAGGCAGCTTCTGATGACAGCATTGCTGCTACTATTATCTCTGGTTGGATTTTCCTCTTCAGGATATTCTCCAGCTCATCCCGATATGGGTAAAAACGTGAGCACTCAAAGAAAACGTGCTCTGCATCTTCATTGACTCCTGGGCAGGATGGGCACTCTGGGGAATTATCATGCTTGGAGCGGTGGAGATATGTCCGGAAACAGCCGTGTCCTGATAACATCTGTGTAAGATAATAGTTGACCTCACTGTGACTCTGGTTTAGCCAAACGTTGATCCTTGGTATGAGACGATGCGTCCACCTACCCTTCACTGTGGCATCCCACTGTAGTTGCCATCGACTTATGCTCCTCTGCCGCTCTTCTGTTCCAAGCTCCCCCACGGAAAAAGTATATATTCTAGTATATATTCTGGAATATATTCTGAAATATATTCTAGAATATATTCGAAATATATTCCGGATATACCCCGTTTTGGCCAAGGAATATATTTCAAAATTATATATATCTGAATATATTCAGTACATATACGATGGATCAGAATATAGATCTGACGACAGACTAGACTATAGACCAGAGAAAAATTTTGAGTAAAACGGAATACAAGCGAGTGCATGCCCATACATTCCGGAATATATTCCTCGGGCAAAACGGGGTATATTCGGAATATATTCTCGGATATATTCTGGAATATATTTCAGAATATATTCCAGAATATATACTTTTTCCGTGGGGGCTTCTCAGCGCTTAGTGTGGTCGACTGCTTTCGTTGGTAAAGGATCCGTCTTTCCTCAGCTAGGATTCCGAGAGGCAAAGTTCCGGAAATGACACACACTGCTTTCATAGATATTGTGCGGAAGGCGCTTGCTACTCTTAAGGAACTCAGACGGTAGACTGGTCCAGCCCTTCACCATGATTCTTGCTTTTCTAGTGCATCTGCCCAGATAGATATTCCGTAAGTGAGCACTGATGTGACTACAGATGATAGCAGTAGTCTCCTGCTCTGCTATGGGCCTCCGACGTTTGGCATCAGTCGTGCTAAGCTGGCTACCACTGCTGATGCTTTTGCACTCACGTGTTCGACTTGCTGCTTAAAGTTGAGTCGGGCATCAAGCATCACTCCAAGATATCGGATATATAGTTGTGATGTGATTTCTTGTTCTCTGACTTTGAGTTTTATGGTCTCTCTAACTTTTCTGCTG